GGCGTCGGGCAGGGCCGGAGTGCGGCGTTGGGGTGCCGGGGCTCAGCGCCCTGTGTCCTGCTCCCCCGCCCCTTCCCGCAGCTGCCCCCAGCCCCGGCACTGTGGGGGCAGATCCAGCCCCTCTCCGAACCCTCTCCTCGCTCCTAGCAGAGGGCACAGGCTGCTGAGGAGAAGCAGCAGCCGCAAAGCTGGGGAGGGGGAACGCGCTTTGTGCAGCTCCTCTCGGAAACAGGATCTCTGCCAACGCCCCCGTGACCGGGACTTCTGGAAAAGCCCTCGCTGGAAGGCGTTCAGGGTGGCTCAGGGCACCCACCTCATCGATGCTGGGGTACGGGATGTAGTCTTCCTGGAAAAAGGAATCAAAACACCGCGAATGACCGTCTGCTCCCCACCAGGCGTCCCGCGAGACCTTTTGCGCTGCAGCAGGGTAAGTCCTTCTCCAGCGGCTCTCCCTTATCGGCGTGAGCTGCTCAGCTCTGAGGCAGAACCCAACCATTGGCACAGCTCCCCGCCGAAACACTCCGGTTCGGATGCAAAGCTGGATTAGGGATTTACACGCACCACCCTCTCATCTTCGCAATTCAGCCAGTGCCTTGTTTTTAGATAACATTTAAATCCTCCTTAGTCCTTTGAGTGACTGTCTTTGACAATACACACTCAAGCTCTGAGATAAGGGGGGACACTTGAAGAGATCCACACGAGAAACAAAATTCAACCAACCTTATGTTTTTGGCTTGCAGTCCTCTGTTCTTCAAGTTTCGGTGCCTGTTTGGAACAAAACGAATAGATCAAATAATTAAGTATTTTTCAACAACACAGACAAAACCACAAGGGTATTGTGCTACACAGAAATCACTCAGACACAAATGGCACGAAAGGAGGGACCATGCTGGGGGAGCACCGCGCGTCTCGGCACCAGGGGTGAGCACAGCCTGCCCGTGCCCCTCCTGCGGGAACAAGGCCCATGCCAGGGGACACCCTGGTCCCCCGACCCTCCTCCTCGGACAGATCCTGATGTGTTTTAGTGTGGGACAAGAGAAAACCTTGCCCTGACCCAAGGGGTACTGA